GCACCAGCCCGTCGGGTCGCCCAACTCCTACTCTACTCACCTCTTACTTCGCTCGTGTGCCGACCCTTCCTGATCGCGCAACCCCGAGCTTCCAACAACGGGTTAAGAGAGTTGACTAATCGCGCAATCGAAATTTATAGCGTGCATGCATGCGCGAAGAACACGGAATTACTAGGACTTAGAGTGAGGTTCAGAGAGGGAGCGCCTGCGTTCTGCATGATCGGCCGCGGCGTGGGGGACGTAACCCTCCTCCACGCATCGATCCGAGCATGCAAGCCGTGGTTTTCAAAAATTTCAGCAAAAGAAAGAGAGATGGGGGGGGGGGCCGGGAAAGACGAAGTGCAAGAAGAAAGATACAGTTACAATGGGGCCCGCCCAAGATTACAGTTACACACACGATTAAGGGCGCCCACTAATCAGAGAACCGTTGCAGCCGCATGAAGAAGCGCGTAAACAAAAGGCGCCACGCGGCAGGAAAAATCCTAATTACTAAATTCCTGAATTCCTATCTAATGCGAAAAAGGAAAAAGAAGCACGAAGTCCAGAAAGAAAGTCCGAAATTTCGAGGGTCATTGGGGGCTCGACAAAATTCAAAAAGGATTTTAAAAAAAATTCAAAAGGAACAAAGCAACTTCCTGCGCGGCGTCCGCGCCCAAAAGATCGAAAGCTGAAGCGAAAAAAAACGACGTCAACATTTATTAATCGCGCGCGCGTGTGGCAACACGCCAAACAACCATCCGACCAATCAATCCACCGACCGTCCCAAGACACACCTAGCTCCGAACCCGGTCGTCCGACACGAAGCAACGAAAAAGGACGAAAAAGCGAGGACACTGATGCAATTCTCCACCGATCCTGATCTCTCGTAATTGGCCCAATCTTCCCAGCTTAGGATCCCTGATTGCAACCGCGCAGAAAATCGCGCGTTACAGAAAGTGGTTCATCACATATGTGACGCCCAGGGGGTTCCAATATTAGCAAGCTCCTGCTTGCTTGTTGACACGTGTCGATTTCTCTAATCGATCGACACGCGGAGCACTTCCTTCTCTGCCACTTACCATTCAACTGCGTGTGGGCGTCATCCAACGTGGCAACACTGCTCTTCTACTAGTTCCTCGGATTGGGCTCCTCGACGATTCAAGGACGGGATCTTTCTCGTGCCGTCGCCGTGACACGCATCCATTTCCTGCTGCATCAGTAATTAACCGAGAGGGGAAAAGGGAGCCGGTGCTTGGCGGCATGGCGGGGCGGAGGGTTTATGGGTAATGGGGGCAAAAGACTTTCCATTCCGGCTACAGTCTCCGGGAGCTCTTGGTAACGAACAATGCGGTGAAAGCGGGGGAAGCGATTGCCGGTGCGAGGGAGGGACACGAGATAATCGAGATAGAGGGTAGTGAGGGTCCGGAAGAGTGTCGAGCGGAAACGATCGCGATCATAGCATGCGGGGATGGTCCCTGTTACCACGCAGTAAACCTCGATCATGTTGTGGCTTCACCACGAGGCACTAAGGAGCAGGACATGGAGGCAAAAGGCTGGGACGGCGCATCGAATGGAGGGGTGGGGGTGCACCACTATAGCGAGGCGAGCAGCGTAGAAGTGGCGGAAGGTGTCGCGGGGAAACGGATTAGAGGGGAACGTGATGGGGGTGGTGAGCTGGCGGAGGGTGAGGTAGTCAAGGGGACAGCGAGAGAGTGATCGGGGACGAAGACCGATCGCCCGTATCAGTACGTCGGCGAAATGGGGGACGGGTTGAGGAGGAGGGAGATCGGCTCCGTCGCCGCGCTGATGGGGTCGGAGTCGTGGCTGTGAGGTCGCCATCTTCAGGCCGGGGCGGCTCCGGATCTTGGCTTGGGTCGTCGAGGGTGCGCAGACTCGCCGCGCTTGCGAATTCCAACTCCTTCTTTCCGGCCGGGATCTCTTCTCTTTTGCGGGCCGCCTCGGAATCCTCAGCCTCCGTACCCGTTCGCAGCGCTTCTTCTGGCACGGCTTCCCACTCTGGTCCAGCAGGCTCGGCGTCGTGCTCCTCTTCTCCTTCCTCGCTTTCTTCTTCTCCTTCGCTCTGTTCCCCCTCGCTATGCTCGCTATAGCTTCCTTCTTCGGGGGTTTCGTCTTCTTCCCCGAGCTCTTCGCCGCTGTTCCCGCCTTCTTCCAGTCCGTCGTCGTCTTCGTCACTCCCGGTACTCTCTTCCTCTTCCTCCTCTTCTCGAATGACCGCAAGCTGCTCAGCCGTAGGATGCCTGAAGAAGGCAGGATCACGAGTCGTCCGGGGATCCAATTATTGTTGCTGCGACGACGGGATGCGCTCTGCGGCTCCTTCTACGCAAGCCGACCACTGAAGATAAGGTGTCAACGTGCGAGAAAGTACGTGGGGAGCTGGATGCTCGTCGTCTTGCGAGATGATGTCGAGAGGGAGATCGTCCGCCAGCTGTGCTACCGGGATCATAAGATCCTTCGCGATGAGATCCATATGGCCGGGCTGCACCGTACCGAATAGAAACGCGAGAAGCTCTCCCTCCACGTTCGTTCGCCAGGCCTGGATGAACAGCAACTCCAGGCGCTCTATGCAAGGCGGGTGCGCTTCGTCCTCGATCCACGTCAGTCGCACTTCCACCAGACACAGTGAAATCTCAATGAAGTCTTCGCGCCACAGGACCCAATGGGGAGGATGAATATCGGGGACAACGAGGGGCTTTAGACAGTAGGAAAGGCGAGGATGGGTATCGGACTGCCAGAAGGTGGGGAAGGTAGAGGGGAGATAAAAAACGGAGATCGGAGAGAGACTCATTGGGGACGTGGGAAGGGAACGAGGATAGGGATGTCTGTTGGCGGCTCGCGCTGATACATCCGAAGGCCGTCGTACTCGATCGCTCGTGTCGTTGCGACTGTATCTCCGGGACGAGCCAGAAGCTGGGTCCACTCGGCGACCAGTTCGTTCGCCCACGCGCGCAGCGATGCCTTCATCGCCGAATGTCGCAAAGGAAGAAGTGTGGAAAGATTGCCACCGAAGTTGACAACGACCGATATGCGAATGACACCTGGCACCGCCCGCTGATGAACTGCTACCGCCTCGGCCAGTACCACCACGTTAGGACACTTCAATCGTGAACACCGCCGCTGCGTACTGCCTTCCGTGCAGAAGAAGTGCGCAAGCCTCCGAAGGTCTGGACTGAGGCGGGGATGGTGGACTTGGCGGATCGTCAATCGATCGCGGGGAGCAAGCGATGCTGAGCTGAGGGCTCTTTCCTCCAGAAAACTCATGGCGATGGTGAAGGTGACGGGGAGTCAAATGGGGAGCAAGAGGAAGAGGGAGACGGCGGAGAGCTAGAGTCGTCGTTTTCGGCTTCCTCAGAGAGAGAGATTGAGGGAGAAGGAGACGAAGCAGAGGGGAGGAGGCGAAGATAGGACACGTGGCGTGTGATCGGACGAGCCGATCGACTGCCGGAGACTTCAGGGGCGAGACGCACGGTGTCCACGCCGTTGGGGCCGAGCTCGATCACGCGATATCGCCCTAAGAATCGTTGCGCTAGCTTACCCTGGCGAGCACATTTCCTTACCTGCACCACGTCCCCCAATTTGTACTGGACCCGCATTCCCATTTCGGGCCTCGTAGCTCCGGGCTAGTCGGCCCTGGGCTAGTTCGGTCATTTTCTGTCGCTTTCGGGCTAGCCTGGGCAACGACCGTTCCATTAACTCTAGGTGCCGTTTGGCCTTATCCCGAGCCGTGGCCCTGGTGGGCCGTCGATTCAATGTAGTCTCATCCGGGAGGCTTGGTATTGAAACGCAAGCGACACTATTGGTCCTTAATTGGAAGGGGCTCAGCCCCATCGATTCGTGGGGTGTTCCGCGATGGACCGCCAGGATGTGATTGACGATATCGGGTCAGGGTCTCGGATCCCGTGCCGCGATGTTTCGTCGCAACGCTGTCTTTGTCGCCCGGTTAGCGTTTTCGACCAGCCCGTTGAACTGTGACATGTGAGGTGCAGTGTTTCGTATGGCGACGCCGTGTAGGACCAGATTCCTTAACACTTCTCCCCTGAATTCAGCCCCATTGTCGGTGAGGATTTCTTCCATATCCTGATGCATCATGAGGAAACGGTTGACATATCGCGCGATTTCCGTGGCTTGCCGCGTGCGACAAGGATACGCTTCGATCCATTTCGAGAAATGGTCTACAAATACCATTAGGACTGAATACTCGCAACTATTAGGGCCAGGGGGCACCACTATGTCGGTAGTGTCCATGCTTACTCTTTGAAATGACCGTTCAACAATCGTGGACACTATCGACCTTGGTGGCTGCATCGGCGCTTTATCAGCCACGCAGACTTGACAGTTGGCGACGATTTATTTCACATCGTCGCGGATATTGGACAAGTACCACTCATTTTTATCGATAGCGGACTCCGTGATTCGTACGGCAAAATGAGCCGCAGTTTCTTCGTGTGCCGTCTTAACCCAGACATACCTCATGAACGGATGCGACACCACCATCCAAATCCCACTGCCATCCGTTTTTCGTTTTTCTAATTTGCCCTCAATCCATCGATAATCCCGATCCCTTTCGTTGGCCCTCCTCCGATCTTCTTTGGTGAAATCCTGGAGGGGGTTACCTACTAGGGTGGCAATTAAGACAATATCCGTCCATACTTCAGCCCTCCTAAACTTTCGGCTATTTTCCAACCCTTCTGACGTGGCGTCCAAAAAGCGAGCCTCGGTCGGAATCTTGTCGGTCCGGCACAAGGGGCACAACCACGGTTGACTATCGTTTCTGAATTGGATGCACGAGCCATGGGCTCGTGCGACGCACTGTCAATAATCTATCCAATCCCCGTTAGGACGCATGGAGACCGAATAGACGCGGGAGATGGCTTTGCAAAAATAGCAAAATTTGTCAGGCAGGGAGAGGAGAGACGAAGAGGAAGGGGGGAAGAGAGGTGTAGTGGGGTTACCTCCGTCACCCATCACCATCGTTCTGCTTTTTGCCACGTGAGAGGACTGCTACTTGTCCGTACTTGGGCTCGTTGGTCAGGTCCAGCTCCTTCCACGATGTAATTTCCTCGCCCTTTGGTACCTTGGCAGGTCGATGCAGGCGTGTCAGCCCGTCCGCGTTGCCGTGTCGCTCCGTCTTTCGATGGACGATATCGACGTCGTATTCTTGCAGTCGCACCGCCCAACGGCCAATCATGCCCGTGTAGTTGGTGAGCTTCTTCAAAGCTAGCAGGGGCTCGTGATCCGTCACGAGGCGAAACTTCTGTCCGTAGAGATACGGATGGAAGTGTTGGATTCCCCAGACCACTGCATAGCATTCGCCTTGAGGTGCTGAGTCGTTTCTTCGTTCGTCCGACACGGTTCGTGACGCATACTCGATGACGTGCTCGCGAGCATCGTTCCCCTTCTGCGCTAGAATAGCGAAAAAAAATAGCTTCTGGTTGCCAGTCCGTGATGAGAATGAACTGCTTCGAGGGGTCTGGTCGAATCAAAATAGGGGTCGTTGCCAGAGCATCCTTGAGGGTTGCAAAGGCCTGTTGGCACTCTGCGTCGTGGAATCAAAATAGGGGTCCTTGCCAGAGCATCCTTGAGGGTTGCAAAGGCCTGTTGGCACTCCGCGTCCCAGCTGAAAGGCTGGTCCTTTCGTAACAAGTTCGTTAGTGGTCGTGCAATCGCGGCAAAGCCCTTGATGAAGCGCCGGTAGTACGACACCAGTCCCAAGAAGGCTCGAACCTGCGTCAGTGACGTAGGAACCGGAGCTTCCTTCACCGCCGCGACTTTTCTCGAATCTGGCCGCAATCCTCCACGTGTCACGACATAGCCCAAGAACGAAATTTCCGAGAGGAAAAATTCGCTCTTCTCAAGCGCAATCTTGAACCCAGCGTCTCTCAATGCACCCAATGTCCATTCGATGTGTTGCGCATGCCCGTGATAGGTTTCCGAATAGACCAGGACGTCATCCATGTACACGATCACGCAAAAGTTAATCATTCCTTGCGTCAGCCGTGTCTTGATGACGAAGTTTTGGAACGTCATGTTCATCGCTCGCTGAAACATGGCAGGCGCATTGCAAATCCCCATCGGACACCGAACCCACTGCCACGTACCCTCAAACAACACAAGGCCGTTTTCGGCCAATCTTCTTCCCTTACCAGAATATGGTGGAAGCCATGCTGAATATAAAACTTGCTGAAATAATTAGCGCATCCAATCGCATCCAACAGATCGTCAATTCGGGGGAGGGGATACACATCTTTGATTGTGATTTTGTTCAGCTTGCGATAATCAATGCAAATGCGAATCGCCTCGTTTTTCTTCGGTACTAACACTACGGGAAAGGACCAAGGTCCGGTAGCGGGTTCAATCCAGCCACTGGCTTCGAAATTCCGAATTCGTTCGAGAGCCTTTTTGCATTCAATCAAGGAATAGCGATAAGGTTTGCAATGAATCGGGGAGTGAGTTCCTGTCTGAATTTCGTGTTGGATGACTAACGACAACCCAATGTCAGTGTCTGACACACTAATCGCTTCTTGATATTCCGTTAGAATATCCGCAATTACCCGGTGGATTTCGTCCGGCACATATTGTGGAACGTGCAGTTCAAACAGTTGGTCCCAGATCCGAACGTCAATCTGTTTCGTGTTCACCTGTTTTGTCAAATCGGGTGGAGGCGCCGAGATGAATAATGATCCGATCGCTAGGAGAACACTGTGGCCATCATCTGAGCATCTTCTTCTTGGATTGCCACGTGTCCTTCCGGGGTAATCCCGTCACAGACATCCTGCCATGGCACCTCCTTAATTGCGATCTTTATCCCCAGTCCGTCTATTTTCGCTTCAAAACGCCAAGGGGGTTCCAGAGAGCTTGCTTCCGCCCCCAACCGTAATAGTCTCACTTTTTTAGCCGAAGTTAGTAAGGATTTGGGTAGATCCGTAATGTCACAGTAATGCTTCTTGTCGCTGTACCGGGCGAGGAGAGGGGTGATTCCTTCGTACAAAATTTGAGGGGTTTCCAAAGAATCGACCATCCTCGAAATCTGCATGAGGGGCTCACCCAAGATCATCGCCTTGGTCCTTTGAATTTTTCGACTAGTTAGTTGCATCGTTCTAGCTATCGTTTTGGGTGGCAGGTAACAAACACATTGTCGTGCTAATTTCAAGATCTCCGGGTCATCCTCGTCACTGCTGTCTGCATCTTTTGTTGATGACTTTCCATCTGCGGATTCATCCCAGGAGATCATGGGGAGAGTCCTTCCCATCATCGGCGAAACCCATGGAACCGTGTTGATAGTAGTGCGAAGGGTCAATCGCATGGGCACAGCGTAGGGTTTTCCTCCTGTATTTCGGAGGACGATCGATCGTCGTTCGAAGTCCAGGTTTGCTCGTAGCGCCACAAGAGCGGGAAGTCCGAAGAGAATGTCATACGTATTGACATCTAGTACTATGGCATCCCCAAGCGCATGCACTTTACCCAATCGGAAAGCGACATTGGTCATTCTTCCTACGATTTTTATTCTTTCTCCGTCAGCCGAAACGAGCTGATCTTTCTCAGAAAGCGTGATCAGGTCGTTTTTCCTACCTGCCCTTTCGACCACTCTCAGTGAGATAGCCAACACAGCCGCTTCCGAATCTATAATACCATTGTAAGGAATTCCCCAAATTTCTCTATCACACTCGGCGGATTTCCACGGAATTGGTTTAATCCACAAGAAATGATCATCTTTCTGGATTAAACCTACCCGTATCGGATCCGAAGTACTTACGGGATTTTCTTTGGGCACGAGGCTTTTGGCTATCGCGTTCGGGGTTCGGCAAGGGCGAATCGCTTTCGGTTCGCTTTGCAATGCTGTAACATTCGCTCGTTGGCCTATTCGATGATCGAGAGCAGATGACCAATCGGAAGGGGAATCCGATGGTCCAAAGCTCGAATGATGTTCATTACATCGATTTCCCCTATGACGAAGGTGGGTTCTCCCGACTCCATTTCTCCTAGGGACGGTCGCCACTCCGCCACTTCTTTCGGTTCGGGTGCTGGTCGGATTGTTCCAATCATCCCAAGCCCAGGATATCCTAGCGACACGTATTGGTCTAGCGGGATTAGCTCGGCGGCCTCTTCCGAGGTAGCCAGGGCACTTCCTCCACCCTCTACTTCTTCCATCAGGGCCCCGACTCGTCCAAGCCCGTTGGCGATGGGGGCCGCAGCCATAGGTGCGACCCCGATCCGCTGTTGCGGGGGTCGGTGGGGGCAGTCGCGGGCTAGATGTCCTATCTGATGACAGACATAACAGACATTCAGATTGTTTGCGACTCCTCCAAGCGCTGGTGTCGGGGCTAATCCTTGCTGAATGGGAGGGGCGCGTACTGCAATGGGACGCATATTCCTCATCATGGCTTCCAGCCGAGCATTGCACTCTCGCTGCTCCTTTTTGCTTTCCTGGATCAAGCTAATCAAGGTTTTAGTTAGTTCGAAAATGGCCGTCGATTCGTTCGTTCGTGCGGGAGCCTCAACTGGTGGTGGGGGTAGCGCCCTGATGGTCGAGGGCATCATAGGAGCAGAGATGCTCGGAGTCTCACTTAGGATTACTCGTTTGGGGCCTATCTGTTCCATATAGGTGACAAGTCCTGATACAAACCCCATGTTTTCAAATTTGTTCTGCAAGGCGGCCAGCTCTGCTCTCGCTCGTGCGAGCTCGGTCGAATCTCCGTCTCTAGGGTGGTCTTCTCCTTCCAGGAAGTTCGCCGCGAACTTCAGTTCCATTTCTTTCGCAGCAGCCATAATTTTTTGCAGCGTATGAGTGATGGGGGAAAATTGCTTTCGCAACTTAGCCCTGATTGTTCGGCTGCGGAGCCCGTCGATGAACAGATCTCTCCCTACTTGCTCACCTCGCTCAGTTTTTACGAACATTCGGTAGAACCGGTTTCGATATTCCGCAACGGATTCGAGAGGTTTTTGCACTCGGTCCTTGATCATGTATAGTGCTTGCTCAGGGTGAACATAATCGAATCAGTTCATAAAGTCTCGTTCGAAGGTCAGGAGATCTACCCATACATAGGTACTAAACCAATGATGGGCGTCTCCTCCCATTCGAGCCGGAATGTTGATCTGTGCTTCGTTGTCGGTGTACTGTTGGGCTCTAAGTGTGGCCTGCCATGCTCCGGCAAGATGGTGTGCAGGATCGAACAAATAGAGATCAGGTGGCGTCATGGGAGCTCGGGCACGTGGGGCGGGTTGATTTGGGTTAGCATTTTATTGCTGAACCAGGTTCTGCACATTGGCATCCATGTTGGCTGCTCGTCAGTTAGCCGATCTGCTTCGGGTAACGATAGGGTCGTGTCTATGCGCGTTCCGAGGGCGAGGTCGCCCACGGTTAGCCAGGTCGCGTAATTAACATGCTATCAATCCTAAGACCCTAACCACGTGTCGGGCTCCGATACCAACCTCACGCCCGACACGACTTCTTGATCCAAGTGGAGCGTGGGCCTGGAAGTGCGAAAAGGGGTGTGCCAAGGATTTTTGGGGGAAGTGGGGGAGTCTTAAGGATATGAATGCAATTATGCGAACGAGGGATGCGCACACAAAGGTCTCACAGTCCAAAGGGGCCGGGACACTGTGGGCGACGCGTTACGGGAAAATTCCTCCGGGGTGGAGACGGACCCGGAAAGTTAGGCCGTCGTGGGCCGCCACGTGGCGCAGGACGCCGTGTACCTGGGTTGGGCCTTTGGAATTCCGGAGTTCTCTGCGTGCCGCTGCGTCGGCAGTTCACGCAAAACGTATTGGGCCAATAGGGGGCTATGGCTGGCCACGGAACGACACTGAGTGGATGATACGGGAGGAGGAGGAGGAAAGGAGGGAAACTGATGGTGATCTCAACGAATCCCGGGTGGGTGAAGTAGTAGGTGTGGTCGAGGGAAGGGAAATCAGAGCACCGAGCGTCGCTAGTGGTGGCACAGTGGACTTCCCGCAGACATAGCCAATTCTTCGTGTGACAGGGGTATCGTGTCCTTATGAGCTCGTGTATTATAGGGGTGAAATAGTCCGGGTCATTGGATGAGTCTGAGCCCCAAGATCGCGTCATGGTGTCATCGTCGGTGGGATAGCGCGGGTCGGGATATCGTCACCGCGCACGAGCACGTGTCGGAC